TCTTCAAACTTCTAAAATACTTAATAAAGAATGACAAGTGTGGCACGCTACGAGCCTTAAGCTACTTGAGAAATGGTAATTGAGGGGCCTCCTCTCAAGGACCTAGAATGTTTAGTGTACACCCTTTGGGTGATATACGACGCATTCGTTCTTAGGTTATAGTCTCCAGTGCGACATAAGTTGCAAATTAAATTCAAAACATTTCTTCTCTAAAAAACACAAAAACACTTCAAACCTTTTTCATCCTTCTGGATCTTAATCAGGAATATCTTTTCAGATAGTCTCCATCAAGACACTCAATGAAGGGATCTCAACTTCACTTGAGAGTACTGCCTCTGCGCCATATACCAGAGAGAAAAGAGGTCTTCCTATCGAAGTACGAACTGAAGTTCGGTAGCCATGTAATGCGAAAGGGAGAATCTCGTGCCAATCTTTGTAGGTTTTCACCATTTTATGGATAATCTTTTTGATATTCTTGTTAGTTGCTTCTACGATGTCGTTCACTTTTGGTTTATATGGTGATGGGTTATGATGTTCAATTTTAAAACTATCGCATACATTCCAATTACGTCTACTCCACATGTAGAAAGGTCGTGGAGCAGCCCACACATTCAGGGGAGTAGGCGGTACGTGAACTTTATCCGCATAGATTTAGAACTTATGGAACTTCTTGATGTACATGAAGCAATCAGTTTCTATAATCTACTAGTAGTAACATGCTCTGAGAATTTTCTTGGCTATTGTATCTCCATTGGCATGAGTACCAAAGGATCCCTCATGAATCTCCTTAATAAGCATGTATCCTTCGTGTCCATCCACACATCTGAGCAAGACCATGTCGCGATTTCTCTTGTAGAGTACATCACCATTGAGGGAGAATATGGATGCCAATCTTTTAAGTGTTTTCTTATCTCCACTTGAAGCATTTGCAGGGAACTCTTGTTTATGGAGGACTTGTTTGATGTTATAAGACCAGGGTTTATTATCCGCTTCTTTTTCAACTACTACAGAATATGTTGGCTCATCCAAACTTTGAATTCACATAATTGGTGCTTCGTTGTCCCATTTGACTTTGAACATGGATGATAAAGTGGCCAAGGCGTCCGCTAGTTGGTTTTCCTCCTTATGAATATAATGTAAAGAAGTCTCATAAAAATTGGGGATCAATTTCCGAACATGGACCTGAAAACCCATGTTTTGCACCTTTTGTACTCATGGCATTCGTTATAGACCACAGGAAGCCAGGAATTCACCCACTAACAACACTACTTTGAATTTACTTTCTCTTTCAATTGTTTATTATTGCCATTGTTATTGTTTGAGCTTTTACATGTCGTTTTTACTCAAATGCATTTGATTTTACTTAGTTGCTATTTTAATTGTCAAATTTTCTATTAATATTGCCTTACCATTTTAATTATCAATTTATATTCCATTGCTATTACTACTTCCATGAACATGTCTAATTTATTGACTGTTATTGATATTATATTTATGCTTTTTCACGTATCTAATATGCTAACTTAAATTAAGAGAGTCCGGGATGTGAGGATCGTTGTTCCGACAGGACTCGGTAAAATTTATTAGCACTGGTTTTCAATATTAAATTATTTTTCTGGTTCTAAGTTTTATTTTAAAAGTTAAAAATGCTTGCGCGAAAGTGAAAGCACTCAGATACCAATTAATAGCGTGACAGTGTGAGACCGGTACCCGATCATAAAATTTAGATTTTTAATTTCTTAAAACAGCGACAACCCTTTATTAATTAGTTAGGACTTATCGATTTTCAAAAATTATTTCGAAATTGTAACTTGCGGAGCGACAACATGGCAATCATGGTTTCGATACGTAACACGGGCTGCGCGAAAGTGAGTAGTGTTTTTAAATTAGTAATTTCTTTGAAAAAATATTTTAAGACTAAACGAAGTGCCAAATTTTATCTGAGTTCCGAAGGTATCCCGAAAATTACATTCCGGTCTCCATTTTAATTAATTCTGAAATCGATCTTTTTAAACTGTTTGCTAGGAAAGCATTTACCAATAGCCTTAGATTTATAAAGAGAAAATAGACTACAATAGGTTGACATTGGTCTCTGTGGGTTCAACACTTTTCATACTATAACTCGCATATATGTGCACTTGTGGATACACATCATGTATTAAGATGGTAGCGAGTGTTGTGCTCTTTTGAGGTGTTAAAAATGTGTATTAATTGGGATCTGTTCTATCTCCTTGAGAGCAGATGCATTTATATGGGTCTTTGGGTCCTAGGGTTTCAATCACCCTTAGTGGCGTCAACCACTCCCTTCATCTCCATGGAAGTTATTGATCATCTATATTTCAGGAGTTGGTGGAGACCCATTCTTTCTTGGCTCACACGCCAGGGTTTCCTCTGGACGGATCTCCAAGGTCATCACCCGGGCGACACGACTCCTGGACGAGGGTGTCATGGTTTAGGGCATCCGTAAATATATCCATACATTTCCCTCACATTTCCCACCTAAAATTAACTATTTTGAGTTCAACCATTGTAAAGTTTGTATGCTAAGGATTAGTTGAGGTAGTATCTTCGTAAAGCTGTTAAAGATCCAATACTGAAATATTTTCTCCCGATCAAAAACACCATATCTAATAAGAAAATTAGAACTCCTAATGTTTCTCCGTACATAAATAATTTATGTTTAATGTTTGATTTTAGAACACCGCAAGTTGTAACTAAATATTTTTATAAAAAAAAAATCATAAATATACTGAAATCTTATCAAACATATTTGTCGAGATAATATAATTTTAAATAAAAGTATGAAGTAGTAATAATAATAATAATAATAATAATAATAATAATAATAATAATAATAATAATAATAATAATAATAATAATAATAATAATAATAATAATAATAATAATAATAATAATAATAATAATAATAATAATAATAATAATAGTTTTGTGCTAGCCAAAGGTCCTATCAGGCAAGGCTCAATTATCATGTCCGCTTCATTAAGTCCAAGGTGTAAATGCCTTCTCAAGGGATTATCAGGTACACAATCTCTAATCTCCACTTTCACTATGATTATCTTGAACACTAATTGACTTGGGCGTTTGAGTGCTAATCAGGAAGACACTCCTTAGGTCCACCACACCAAAGATTAGCAACATTAGTTCAAGATCAACACCTCTGATTTCAAAAACATCACGATTGCAACCTTCAGATTGAGACGCTCTTCCCTTGAATCACATGAGAAGCTTTGCTCGATTGTATCTTCTGCAAATTCTTCCATTTCTAGTTTCATAATAGAACATTGGCACCATCCATGGGAACCAACTTCTGATTCCTACGATTTTCACAATATTGAATCCAACTTTTGACTCACCAACTCGTAACATCCTTCAGATATGAACGACCTATGCAAATCAGTGTTCTCTATTCGATTTCTTCGTTCGTGCCCCTCCGAATCTCAAAAGCGGCAATTTTTAGAAGTGATCACGGAGGTTCGTTGTAGCCGATTCTCTTGGTCACCTGTTTAGCCTCGATTTTGCCATTAAGATCTACAATTTTCTCAAAAATCTCATTGATCAGTAGAGAAAACGATCTAAGATCCATATCTAGGATTGCATCTGCCTCCGAAGGCAATTTTTGTAAAGGCAAGACAAACACCCTACAAACCACTGACCGACTAAAGACACACACGTTTTCCATCATGATCAAGATGGTTGCGTAGGAAGCATCAGGAAAGTATCGCGAGTTCGTAGTTAATGGCGCCCGAGCGTAGTAAGTTTGTAGTTAACGTTGAGCGCCAAACAAATACCGAAGTGCATCTTGTGGATATCATAGGATTTCCACAAGATGCATCACAGTCTCCATCGAGTGGACAACGAAACATGGGTCCACTGGATATGACTCGTTAATAATATCTCATATCCCGTCCGCCAAAAGACCTATTGGTATCCACATCTGACTGGCGCACGACCCTCCAATTTGACAAATTCACCACTGAACACTCGGGTTCTGTTTGAGAAGGGCGTGAACAAGTAGGGATTCCATCATTCCCTAGACAAACACCTAGTCAACCCAGACACACTAGAAAGAGCTCGGAGCTTATGAGCGTTGGGTCACCTCTATTGTGAGGAATAAAGCACGAGTACAACCATCAAAATATCAGACTGAGCAATTCAAAAAACTCGGAATCATTAGCCAGACTCTGACCGTATACCTCAACGTGACCAATCTCCTAAACAAGCATCAACAAAAGAATACAAAGCACGACACCTCGGACACGTCCATCAAGAATCAACCGAGTACGAAGCTAAGGACCCTGTCTTCCAGAACAACTGATATTTAAACCACTCGGACCACACATTCGAGGGAGAGCAATCAGGATATACTCGTAGACGACTGCAATATTTTATCAATGTATTTGTAAATTTATAACCTACTTGCAATTATTGTATGTTTATTCAAATCAAAATGACTCAAATGCCCTTAATATAAAGTGGAATTACAAAATCTATAGTATTTTAAACCAAAAATATACGATATAGTGTCACATTTAGTGTCATGATAACATTTACCATATATATATATATATATATATATATATATATATATATATATATATATATATATATATATATATATATATATATATATATATATATATATATATATATATATATATATATATATATATATATATATATATATATATACTTTAAAATTAATAATTTTGATTATAAAACAAAATAAGGTAAAACGTATAGTTTGAGAACACGTCATCTTAGCTAAAGAATAAATAGAAATGAATGTTGAACAAACAAATGGTTGGAGAACAAAACTCTTAGCAACAAAGTTGACAGTATATGTGGCTTACAACTCACAAAGACAAGTATAAATACTTTCCATATTCCACAGAAACAAATTGGGAAAGAGGAAAACAATAAAACTACCAACAATAAAGCATAATAAAATTTTGTTACATTATTAAAAATTTCAAAGTAACATGTCAAACAAATTTGTTGCTTTGTTGTTGGTAGTGTGCCTTGTAACTGTTGAAGGTCATAATATTTCTATTAAATATGGTGAAAAAGTAGTATCTCCAGAAGATTGCTTCATTTATTGCACCACTGCAAGTGTATTGCCCAAATTCATTAAAAACCCCTTATGTAAATGGCGTTGTGATAGTTTCGTCATGTGGGAATGTAAGTTTCACTTCATCTTTATGCTATAAAAGTCATTCAGTGATGAAAACTTTATTATTATTATTATTATTATTATTATTATTATTATTATTATTACTATTTTATTATTATTATTATTATTATTATTATTATTAAAGTATTTTTTATCTAAAATAAATATTTATTAATGTAGCTTATGATGGTTCCTTTGCAAGGAGGCATGGTCCAGAAGTTGATGCTCCTAGTTCTGTGGCCCCAGCTCCCATAGGGCAAATTGGATTTGAGTAAAAACACAAAGGCTTTGCCATGAATTGCTATGTATTTGTACATCAATTCTTGTCATTATCCTCTTTCCCCTTCATTGTCATTTTTTATCATATTAATAAATTGAATTATTATTCTCTTTTCATCCTCTGATTAGTTAGTGAGACTATATTTATTATTCTCTTTTCATCTTCGGATTAGTTAGTGAAACTATATTTTAAGTGTTAGTTTATGATTTACATTTCATCTTCGGATTAGTCGGTGAAACTATATTTTAAGTGTATAGTTTATGATTTACATTTGACTTAAATGCATTTTGATCTCTATTTAGGTGTTTTTTTTATTCTTCTATTTTAAAATTCAATTTTTTGGTCCTTAATTTTATTTTATTCAAGATTTTTTTATCCCTTCCCATATTTCCATTTTACATATGTGGCATATCTATTCAATACGTGACATAATACATTTTACTTTCAAATAGGCCATATTTGACATATCACTTATATTAAAATTAAAAAATAATATTAAAAATTTGAATAATACATTTAATATTTTAATTTATAAGTTTTTTTTAATTAAGGAAGAAAGAATATATTAATTCAAAAAAATAATACAAAGCTAGGTGATCCAAGCAGAATCCAACCACACCACAAGGACTAAATTTACAACATAAAACTAACAAGACGACGTCTAACCGTAATGCTTTGCCCCGCTCTATACACTACACTAACTCTGCTTGTTGTGACTATGTTTGTATTATCCACAGTATTTCCAAATCTTATTTCTATATCTTCAAATGTTGTAAATGGTTTTAGCAGCTAACATCTTCAATATATCTACTTTCCAACCCTTTCCTTTTGTTATACTAGTAATTCAAACTAGCTCTTCATTCCATGGTTGGGGGTCATGTTTAACATTAATCCAATGGAGCACTTCATGGCATATAGGTTTGGTCTTTTAACAGTAGAAAAAACAGGTGATTCAACGTTTCCTCCTCACTATAGCAAAGGTTGCAGGTGCTGTCTTGTATCATCCCAAATCGCTTCAGCTTCTCTTTAGTTGCAAGCTTCCCATGATAAGCTTGCCACAAGCATTGAACAACTCGAGGTCGCCCTTTGTTGAACTTGATAAGTTTTCTCCAAGGCACCCTTGTGCCATCATCAATGAGCAGTTTATAGAACATTGTGGCTTTAAACTTGTGTGTGTTCAGAGCATGATTCCATTAATTGTGCATGTAGTCTAGATTCTCTCTTTGATTCATAATACCACGAATGATCCAAGAGTTATGTGTCTTGCTCACATAATTCATCACATTATTTCCTTTTAAGTAGTGAGTATGAATCCACTTTACCCACAAGGTATCAGATTTGTTGTAGAGGTTCCAAAGACACTTCAACAAAAGCACATTGTTCCAAACCTTAAGATTCATCAAATTCATCCCTCCTTGATCAGTCGGACAACAAGTTTTCTTCCAGGCCACATGACATTTTCTGCTAACAGTGTCCTTACCTGTCCAGATGAAGCTTCTACAAATTGAATCAATCTTTTTAATCACATACTTGGACATAGGGAGGCAATGCATCCAGTACTGCACCGTGGCACACACAATACTCTTCACCAATTAAACCTTTCCTGCATAGCTTAGGAGCCTAGAAGACCAATGATGGATTTGAGCCACTATTTTATCCACCAAGGGCATAAAGTGATTGATGGTTAGTCTCTTGCTAGATACAAAGATTCCTAGGTACTTGAAAGGCAAAGTCCCTTCTTGGAAACCAGAAATATTTCTTATTGAATCTTTGTTCTTACAGTCCATACCTCCAAAATAGATCTTGCATTTGTTAGGATTCATCATCAAGCCTATGGAATTGGAGAAAGTTCTGAAAGCCTTTAACATTATTTGCATGGACACTTCATCTCCTCTACAAAGTAATAGAATATCATCTGCAAATGTGAGGTTAGTAATTTTCAGACTCTCGCTTTAGCATGATAATTGAAATTAGGGTCATTTTGCATTTTAAGCAAAATTCTATTCATGTACTCCATTATAAGGACAAAGAGCATAGGTGATATTGGATCACCTTGCCTAATTCCTCTTTTGGCCTGTAAGAAATCAGTGTATCCTCCCATTATGTTATACTTGTAAGACACAGTAGTGATACCTAGCATAGTCCATTGTATAAACTTGCTAGGTATGCCAATTTCCTTCACAATGCACTCAAAAGCTCTCAATTAACCATGTCATAAGCTTTTTGGAGATCTAGCTGCATCATTATTCTAGGAGTGCCACCTTTTCTGGTGTACCCTTTAAGGAGCTCAGTAGCAAGCATGATGTGATTATGTATGTTCTAGCCTGGCACAAAAGCTGCCTGACTGTGACTTATCACACTAGGCAGCACAGTTTCTAGTCTGTCAGTTAAAATCTTGGAGATAATTTTATAAAAGGTGGTGCAGACAGCTATGGTCTGTAATCTTTAATCTCACAAGCACTACTTCTTTTTGGGACCAGGGACACCACAATACTATTGAAGGCTTTGTAAATCTTACCATTCTCAAAGTATTCATTTACAGCTGCTATCACATCTGCCTTAATGGTTGTCCAGCTAGCTTTGAAAATTTTGGCTCCAAAGCCATCAAGGCTTGGAGCTTTGAGGTCTCCAATCCCCTTTAGAGCTTTATTGATGTCAGCCTCTGAAATGGTTCTGGTTAGGAAATCCCTTTGCTCCATGTTAAGTTGATTATCCATCCTCATGGCCTCAATATCAACATGGTTAATACTACTAATATCTTTGCCCATCAAGTCTCCATAAAAGGCCATAACTTCCTCTTCTATGTCCTTTTGGGATGTTATAGAAGTGTCGTCACTCTTCCTCAGATTCCTCAGACAGTTGGAGTGGTGTTTAGCTTTGATAGCAGCATAGAAATAATGGTTATTTCCATTCCCTTTTCTAAGTCATTCTATCTTTGACCTTTGCTGCAAAACTTTTTCTTCAAGGTCATTCAGGGACACAACTTCCTCAGTTAGCTCCTTAGTCTTTCCTATCAAAGTGTTATTCATTCTATCAACACTCAGCTCTTCCTGCACTTTTTTGAGGTTGGTTCTAGCTGAAATCAGTCTTGCTTTTACATCAAACAGAGACAGAGGTTTGCTAAAAAAATTTAATTTATAAGTTATGAGATAAAGTTAATTAAAATAATATATTTAATTGAAATTAATTTTTGTTAACTTAAAAATAATAGCCAAAAAATCAAATTTTATTAATTATATTTTAAATAAAATTCCAAAAAAAAACTTCAAAACAAAAATATTATTAATTGTAAATTTTAAAAAAAAATTAAAATTTCTCCTTAAACAACACAATATCATTAACATTTTCAATAATTGCAAAATAAAATTATATCTATCATCTTCATCACTAACCCATAACCAAATTAATGATTTTCATCTTCATAAATCCAGAAAACATAGAAAATCCATAAAATAGAATTCAAAACAATTCTCTCCTCTGGTGCACCATCCATGTATTTCACTTCTACTCCCACGAAAACCATAAATCAAACACTTCCCTCTGATATATAAAGCAATTTATTTCAAACGTATGATACAAAGTTGTCAAAGGATGCACCCAAAAGTGGTCAGAAGAGAATAACAATATAGCGTCACATTGGTCCCGATTCGAAACATCATCGCCAAGGATCAAAGAGGAGGAGAAGCTTAGAAAGGAAGCTAGCACGCATTGTAAAGGGTCAACGAAACCACTCCATTCGGTAACATTGTTTTCATTTCATCTTTTATTCAATCGCCGAGTGCTGTGAGCTGTAAGCGATAGACACGTGGGAAATGATGAGTGGGTGGTCTCCTCTCACTCGTCTAGAGTGTTTAGCGTATGTCCTCTAGACAATAGGCGGCGCATTCGCTCCTACGTCTTAGGACTTAGCCTGTGCGTCCCAATCCGAACATTTTCTCTTGCATCCTAGCGATTGAAACTCTTTTCTCTCGCATCCTGGCGATTGAGATCCCTTCTCTTTCCCCCGTGCAATCGAGACCATTTTTCCGTAGTTAGCCGAACTACGGCTGCTCTGATCTCTCATATCCGTTGAGAGTACGTAGGCATAGGATTGCGATAATCCTAGCGAGTACTTTTCCTCCTTTCACCCTTTAGGTTTCATGTACCTTTAAACCAATGACATACTATGTCCGTTCTATCGCAAACAAGTAACGCCTAAGTCTCCAATGGTCGAGCAGTAATACACCTAACTGCTAGAATGCGTGCGCTAGTATCGTCTACCTTTTCTCTCGCCCCCGTGTGATTGAGAACACCCCGTTTACCCGTATTTAGCCCGAACTACATTTACTTTGATTTCTCATACCAGATGAGGGTACGTAGGCACAAGACGACGATGTCTTGGAGAGCAACCTTCCCCCCTTTCACCCGTAGTTTCCCGAACTACATTGACTCTGACTTTCCCATTGCACGAGGGAATACGTAGGCATAGGGCGGCGATGTCCTATCGAGTCAGTTCTTTCCGTTTAGATTTAGCAGCCGTAGATAGTTTGTTTTTCACCCATAGACTAGACAACAAGCGTGGATCCCGTTGAGTACAACGGATGTGAGGGGTGCTCATACCTTCCCCTTGTGTAACCGACTCCCGAACCCAAGATTTAGTTGCGATGACATGTCTTTTCCCTTTTCCGTAGGTTTTCTCTAATCGTTTCCTTTCCCTCTCTTTGGGATAAATAACGAACGGTGGCTTCTATCTTCCACCGGCCCCCTTCGCAGCAATGCGACATGAAGAAAAGACTCAGAACCTATGAACTCAATACTATGAAGTCTCATTCCAACCAGGTTCTGAAGACATACTTTAGCTCCTGATCTTGCTTGAACTAATTCTATAAAAAAATCCTTTGAATCAGAAAGCAAAGTATAAAGCTAACATCGAATATGAGCAAGCTTCAACATACATTTACAAGAAGACTAAAATCAAAAGTTATCTAAGGAAGATCACATGACAACGATACAGTACTTTATGTTAAATTTGGTGATAATGGCATTGTCAATATCTTCTCTCTCCAACTGTCTTGATACTATCAAAATCTTTAAACTAGTCGAGTTTTTAGCTCAGTCTATTGTCTATAAGCTAAAGACCTTAAACGACTACTTGTACCTTGCAACAACTATATGTACCATGGTAGTTTAAATCCTTAACAAATATATCCTTAGTATCTATTTATAGGTGAAGATTGAAAACATTCACAAGGTTCCGAACTATGAAAGTTATGGGAACATCTCTTTGAGTTGAACCTCTACCTCTTAATAAAATAAAAGTGAGTTGTAGATTTCATGATTGTGTTCACATTGATGTGATACCAGTTCACTGAAATGATTTAAGAGAAACACAGTTCAAAAGATTATCTAACCAGAAGGGTTAAGTGTGTTAGATCAGAGTGAAACATTTTGCATACATTCTGAAGATATAATATGTGAACATGTTCATCAGAACAAAAAGGCACAACAAGATGAAATTTTTTGCAAGGAGAAAAGAAGAATGAAATCTTCATTCTTCCATACTAAGGAACAATCAACACAAATATGCTCAAGAGTGTAAAACCTTTGTGTATCTGTTTATCCAAGAAACACATATATGAATACAAAGTTTATACCAGATGTCTCTGTTAAGAGAATTTGGAGACTCTAGCTTTTATGCTTAGAGTAAAGCCTATTTCTGATGATTAAGCAAACATTCTTGAACTGGATGTCCAGGCATTGAACTCTCATACTTGCGGGTTGAGCAAGGAAGTATCGATCAATGTGATTGAGTAAGAAGTCTCATGGTTGAGGGCTTGAGTAGGAAGTCCTAAATAGGTAGTTTAGGAAAGGAAGTCTCAATTTGGGTGATTGAGTAGGAAGTCCTGAACAGGGAGTTTAGGAAATGAAGTCTCATGCTTGCAGGAAGGAGCAGAAGTCCCTTCCCGTGGGATTGAGCAGGAATTATTGAGCTATTGGCTTAAGCAATTGTAATTAGTCTGATTATAGTTAAAATCTCTTATGCTACAAGAAGACTGGACTACTATATATATTGTGTGTCTCTTTATTTAATTTTACATTTATATTTCGATGTACATCCATACTCTGGAGTCAGATTCTGATCTTAATAGACTCTTAGTTGGATTAGAATCTAAGCGTGAAACCTTAGGTTTTGAAATAAGACTAAGTAAAAGAAGTAAACTTTTCACTGCTGGTACACTCTTTGTTATCTGACTCTAAATGTGGTTTAGAATCTAATATATCAGGATTTGAAGTGAAAAGAGTTTCGATATTTTGACGTACACAATTCAAACCTGTATCTTCTATATTTTTCTCACTTTCACTTAGGAATTAGGGTAAAAAAGAATGAGGAAAACTATGAGGAAGGAATGAAATCTGATGAAACTTGTACGACTTGACCTTAATGTCATCCCTAAGCATTGGCAAAAACCTTTTGAAGAAACAAAGATTAAAACCATCAGGGTTAGTATTCTTATTGCTCTCACACAGAGCTAGCGCCTGATCAATCTCACAAAGAAGGAAAGGAGCACTGAGCCTAACATTATCCTCCTCCTCCTCCTCCTCCTCCTCAGAGAGAGAGAGAGAGAGAGAGAGAGAGAGAGAGAGAGAGAGAGAGGGAAAAACCTTGTCTAAATGGGGCCGATAAAATAAAAGCTCTCTAAAGTGACTGGTAAAATAGTTAACCACTTGGTGAAGAATCTCAAATTCTCCTTTAAATTAATTATCACCTATCTTAAGAGCCAAAATAGTAATCTTGTTGTTTCTACTCTTAATGCAGGCATGAAAGAAGTCAGTGTTTGAATAACCTTCCTTAAGCCAATTTACTCTGGACCTCTAGAAAAGATAGGCTTCTTTGGTCTGAAGCAAAGACCAAAGGTCCTCGGATGCCTGCCTTCTAGTGTTAAACTACTTCAAATAAATATCTCCCTATTCAACTCTCGCATCAAGATAGCTCACCACATCCTTTAGGTAAGCTATATGGGAGTAAGATCGCCAAAAACTTGATGGTTCTAAGATTTTAGAGCCCTTTTAAGGGTTTTGAGCTTCTCTTTTAGGAGAAAATATTTCCATCACGTAACTAGGAAGCTATACCAACTGCTTAGAACCATCTCAGGTAACCGAGGATGAGAAAGTCAATGATTATTAAACTAGAAAGGTTTAGGGCCCCACAATTGATTAGAGTACCTAAGAATGATAGAACAATGATCACATACATCTCTAGAAAGTGCCCACTAGGAGGATATATCCCACAAACCCCACCACATATAAAAAAATCCTATCTAGGCGAATAACAATCAAACTATTAGGCCAGAACCAATTAAAATTCCTACCTAAAAGGGGAAGGTCCAGCAAATCCATCTGGGATATGAAATGAGATAATTCAATAAATTCAACATTACTAACTCACCGGTGTGACTCATCAGCTCCAACCCTCTCAAAAGGAGAAAAAATAAAATGAAAATCACCCATAATGCACCACACCTCCCCTCTAAGAGTAGCCTTCCTAGAGAGAAGATCCATCAATAACACTCTCTTTTCTCTAAGGCTACACCTAGAGTATATATTCACCCTAGAGCATGTAGTATTGGACATCTTCCATTCAGGAAAGACGCCAAGATAACCAGGGCCAACAAATGAGCATAGAGATGGCCACTTCGAAGGTCACCACTATTACCATTAGACGGAGATAAACTCTAATCACTAAAGGGTTTCCCTCATAGAGAGTGAACTAGAGATTAAGAAATCTCGTTAAGTTTAGTCTCTTGAATCGCGAGGAAAACTATAGACCTAGAACAAATGAGCTCTTTTACCTTATTCTTTGTAACCATACTCCCTAACCCACGAACATTAAAAGAACCCATCAACATTGAGCATAACTCCTAGATAAGCTTGCAGACCTTAGCTGCCTATCATTTTTTTCTAGACCCACCATTCTCTATGCCTCATCCTCCTCAATAAGGAAAAAAGTATACCCTAACTACTTGGTAATATTAACCATAACTTACTGTAATAACAATTAAGTGAAAGTAAGAGTGTGAGTAGGCTCATACCGGGTCCCATTAATAGTAGGTGTTGTTCTTTTTGTTGTCGAGTTTTTAAACATATGATCCCGTGGGCAATTTGCAACCCTTCATAAAAGGTGGGTAGATTCCCTCCATTATGATGTTGGACTTTGACTATGATTGTAAACATGTTAGTGTAACTTGTACTTTCATTGATAAATTTACTTATAAAGAAGTTATAACTAATGTAATACTTAAAGGACCAAAAGTTAAATTTTAAAAAGAGAGACCATGTGATAATGTGAGAATGTTAAGAGAACCAAAATTTTAATTAAAGCTTTAATTTAATAAAAAGTAACCCTTAAACTTTTTGGTTTGAGAAGTTCTCAAATATTTTAGCATAAATCAATCTATGAACTATAAAAAAATAGAAAGAAAGAAGAAAGACATCAACCCAAATCCTCCATTTGACCAGTTCCAACTTTATATTGCAGCATAAACTAATTTTAACCAAAAGAAAAAAGCTATTACACATTCTGATATCAGACTCTGAACGTGGTTCAGATTCTGAAGATTCAGTTTCAGAAGTGAAAAGAGTTTTTTGGCATACACAATTCAACCACACTTCTTTTGTATTTTTCTCACCTTCATATTATGTGTAACATTACTCAGACATCTGCACAACACTTTTATTAAATAACATTTTGGATCTTTCTTTGATGCATGATGAACATAATTTAACATTTTACCAAGGATTACATAACTTAGACAGACGATTACATAACTTAAAAAATAATAAAAAAGGAAAACATAAATACTACCAGATGATTATGGACGTTTCAACATATTAATTATGTCGTCGACAAAGCTTGAAATCTTCACATCTAACTTGATAAACCCCCTTATTTTTAAAGCTGGTTGCTTAGAAACTTAAAATGCCTGGGCAAAATTGAGGTATGGCAAGTTCTTTCACCTTATTATTTTAAACCATACTTCCTAATCTAAGAACATTATAAGAAGAGATCAACATTGAGCATAACTCTTAGATAACCTTGTAGAACTCAGTTGTCTATCTCTTTTTTCTATACCCGTCATTCTCTCTACCTCATCCTGCTCACTAAGGAAAAAATGTACACTCTAGCTGCTTGGTAACATGGTCTCAAAATAAAACTAACTGTAATAACAATTAAGTGAAAGTGAGAGTGGGAATAGGCTCATACTGAGACCCATTTAATAGTAGGTGTTGTACTTTTTGCTGTCGAATTTTTGAGCATATGATTCAGAGGGCAATCTGCAAATCTTCATAGAAGATGGGTAAATTTCCTCCATTATAATGCTAGACTTCGACTATCATTGTAAACAGGGGTAGAATACTCTTGTACTTTCATTGATAAATTTACCTATAAAAACGAAAGTAAATGAAAATGAAACTAAATGAAAACAAAAACGATAAGACAAGCAACAAAATAACAATATTAGGGTACTCCTCTTGAATATATTAGGGACATGCAACTATAAAAACCCTTCTTTTAAGTATGTTTTCTCTAGTAGGAATTCTATCATGTAATAACTACCATGAGAAACTGTTACTTTAGAGGAAGCCCGACTACTCTATAAACTGGAAAGAACATTCTCTATTAATGAGACATGACGATTTCTAGGAAAGTCCCAAGTGAGAAGAAAAGAGTACGCAGAGGCTACCGAGTAAATACCACCTTTGGAGTGGTTCTACCACCACTTATCATTCCGGAAAGAAGGAATACAATCTTTCACAACTTAGAAAAAATCTAATATAGGCACAGGATGACGCTCATAAAGATTACCCCTTCTTTATCTAAAATCCCAAATTCAGGTTCAACCCTCCCATCTACCTATCTCCCCTACAAAACAATCCTCCTGCTCTAAGAAAAAGAAAATTTGATGGAACTTGGTTCTCAAACGCATCTCCCCCACCCAATAATCACTAAAAAACATAGCGAGGAGACCTGGTACAACTTTTCTGACAATACTATCTTGAAACTAGTCTGATAGGTCCTCCCTTTTACCACTTAGGAGAGACACTCTTTTCCATCAAGAAGGCGAAGAACAAAGACAGACAACTCTAAAAAAGAAGTTGGAATAACCATGTATCTATCAGAGAGGAGGATATCTTACCATAAACCTAAGTCTAACTGCAAAAATACCTAGTACCTGTGGTACTCAAATTTTAGAGCCAAAATCTTTTTAAACTACATATTTTATTATGCTCATAAAAATAATGTCTCCCTTTTAAAATTAAACTTTTTAGTCCATTAATTATAGCTTATATATCGAAGTTTTGTTCTTTCAAAAAAGATGTTAAAGTATCGGTACTAACACATTTTAACTTGAGAAATAGTGATTCTTGATTTCAAAAATGACAATTAATATTTCAATTTTGGAGAAAAATTGTATAACTTTTCAAAGAAAAAAAGCTACATTTTTTGGCCAAAAAATTGTGTTGGAATCAAAGTTATAACAAATATTACCTCCGTTCCTTTATATATATATATATATATATGAGACAATTCATTTTTTAGGTTCATTGAATAATCAATATATTTAATTAGTTTATATACTAAATATATTAATTATTCAAGAATAAAAAAATTAATTGTCTTTTTTTATAAAAAGAAAGAGAGGTAGTATAATATTTAAAGGATCCAAAAAATTGAATTTAAAAAAACAAATAAAAACCAAAATTGTCATTAAAGCTTTCATTTAATAAAAATTTAACCTTAAATTTATCGGTTCGAGAAGTTCTTCAATATATTCTAGTAAAAAAATATTTTTTAATAAGCAAAGATGATTATTTGTGAGAAAAAAAATCAATGATCAAAAATAGAAAAAAAAAATCAAGAAAGACATCAATCCATATCCTCCATTTGACCTATTCCAACTTCATATTGCATCATAAACCAATCATAAACAAAAAAAAAAGTGACACAACAAAACTCTAAAACACCAACAAAGCTCTAAAAATAATTTTCTTTAAAAATAAAGTTAACACCCCGTAATCCTAGAGTTTTGTTACATATTTATCACCAACAAAACTTCATCTAAAAATAAACACCGAAATTCATCAACAACATTGACATTATCTTTGGCTCATGTAGTATATATACAAGCACCATTGCTCAGAAATAATCATCCGGAAAAGGAAACGTACAATTAAATTTGTTTGACATTTTAAAATTTACACAAAAATGTCAAACAAATTTGTTGCATTATTATTGTTGGCATGTATTGTAACCGTTCAAAGTGAGACTAAGATAGTGAGCCCAGAAGAATGCTATGATTATTGCTACCGTGCCATGTTTATGCCCAAACTCGTTGCCGAAAATGCATGTAAATGGCGTTGTCGTAATTTCAACATGTACGAATGTAAGTTTCACTTCATCATTTTTCTCGAACTTCATTTCAAATCATTCGTATTTATATGTAAATAATATCGATCTATCTATGCCCTAGATGATGTTTTAGAATTTGATAATGTTTTTTTTTATGATGTAGCTGTTAACCAGAGGGGAACAATGAGGGGAAAGATTCAAGACTTCTCCGATCCAACTGCGTCTCCGGCCAAGTCTCCGGTCCCAAAACCGAAAGTTCATTGAGAAAGAAAATTGTATGGATCGAAGAATGAGGTTAGCATGAAGAGGCAAAGAAACTCAAGAAACACACAAGGCACTCATTCTCATGTATTATTACCAATTCATGTCATAATCCTCTTACCTCTTCCTTTTCATTATTTACTAGTAAAGGAATAAATTTTTATTCTTTATATTATAATTCTCCTATTTATTTTTTTATTTTTTTAGTTTTGTTACAGTATAAAAATTAATAATTAAATTATGTGAAAAATATACTTTAAAACAATATATAAATTTAATACAATGAGATTAAGATAATATTTCAATTTTGGGATCATTAATATATAAAATTGAAACACTTGTTTCATTTTGAAAAGACTCTGTCTTTTAAAAAATCATATTACCTAAACTTATATTATAAATAAATATTAATAAGTATAAATTATGAATAAAATAAATTTATTTTAAAAAAAGTTATTTTTAACTACAATTATAATTGTTTTTTTATGATGATCGTATCTTTAAATTTAGTTGGGTTGGGTATGAATATTCTTAAATTCATTTTTTAATGCTACATGATTTTTTAATTTATTTTATTTTAAAATAATTTATATTAAAATAATTTATATTAAAGATATGGTTACATAACTTAAATTCATGGGTATTAAAGAAATTATTATTATTTATTTATATCTTCAAAAATAATGTTATGTGCACCATTTTTTAATAAATATTCTTCACTAGGTTAAATCACCATTCTATACTTTTAATTCACAATTTTTTAAAAATTTTTTTGTTGAATTATCAAATAAAATATATTTTAAGACGTATTTTATACAAATCATCACACTAGATATATTGCTTCCCTATTAGACATCAAATTTAATACGGAGTGTTATGGTTCGTTTGGTTGTAGATTTTTTTAGGAGAGGAGAGAAAAAATTTTAAATTAAGTATATTTGATTTAATTTTTTTTTTTACGGTAGGACGGAAGGGAAGAGAATTTGAATCTCTACTAGAACATTTTTTCGTTCTCCTAAATTAGGGAGTTTTGGAGAGGAGAAAAGTTGTAATAAAATATATTTGTGTTATCTTGACAAAATTACGCTTGTTTTTTTTACTATGATCCCAAAATTTATATGTGAATTTTTCACCTTATTAAAATTTCTTCATATTTTTTAAACACAACTCCATTGTTTTTATTCCTATTTCTCAATTTTCGTTCTTTTTTCATGCATTTTATTTTATTCATTTTTATTTATTATGTTGCTTGTAATAACTTAAATTTTTTTATAAGTTATTGTGTTGTATTACATATCAATATATAATTGTAGTATATGAATTATATATTATCTAGAATTTAATTTCATAATTATTTATAGGATTAAATGAATCATCAAGATGAGAAAATAGTTCATTTCAAAATTGATCATATAATAATTCTACGACATTTATCAATATTTTATATGTATTTTATTATATTTAAGAATATTTGAAATATTAAATATTTTGCATTCTAATATCTATGTTGTCTTTAAATTGAAAAAAAAAATTGGATGAATATTATTTTATTTTTGTTTTATTTAGAATTAATGTTATAATATTTTATGGATAAAAAAGTAAAGTAGTTTTAAAGTTTCTCCTCTTCCCGTGCGAACCAAATATATTTTCGATTAAGAAAAAATTTCTCCCATTTTCTCGGCCTCTTTTGAACCAAATATACATTTAATTAAAATATATTCTCTCACCTTCCTTTTTCTTTATTAAAATATTTTTTCTTCTCTCATCTCCGTTGAACCAAACGGGCCCTAAAACTCCTTTTCTATTTCTCGTTGTTGTATGTATCTTGATGAATTTTGAATGATACAAAGTATTTCTTATATTCAATTAATTTATAACTAAAATTTAATACTTAATTGTTTAAAGTTCACAAATTTAAAGTTAAAATTTAAAGTCTCCGTAGCAATAAACGTATAAAAATGTAAAAACTGATGAAAGAATGTTAAATTATTGAAAGTAGACAAAAAGTAAACTGAAATAATAGTATGTTATATTATATTGTAATATGGTTGAGTTACCAACATTATTTAAATAGCCTATAAGAATGATAATTCAAGTAGAGCAGGTGTTGAGAGATTTTGGATATTTTGTTTAAGTAAAATGAACTCTTTAATTTAAAAATTAATCATTTATTCCGTTGCGGAATTATAAATGGTGATGATTGTGAAAACTACGGCAGAGCGAAAATTCTAATGTATTACATCGATGTGACACCTTAAATCAAAGGTTGCAATCACAATGTTTCTTGAATCATAGAGATCGGTCTTGATGCGATGTTGTTAATAGATTTTTGATATCTCTTATATGGTGGATTTAGTGGGATACATGCATGATTAGCACTTCAACGTTCAAATCTGTTTAGACTTCAAGATAACGATAGTGAAAGTGGAAAATAAAGATCATGTATTAAGAACCTTTTACGAAGATATTTATATATTAGGCCTGACAGAGTAGGTTGGATAATGGACCTCGTGTTATTGGATCTTCGGCCGACGTGGAGCAGTAGGTCCCAGGTATTTAGCTGGCACAAAATAATTGCCCCTAAGACTTGACAGACATGTTTGATGATGGTGGAGTCTTTTAGTAATAGTGGGGCCTTAAAGGATGTTTGTACAAGCGCCAGTTGGCATGCGCTGACTTGGTTTTGCCAAAGCATGATGCAGATGTGAGCATTAAATGCAATCTTATTATTTAAATGTTTTGTCGTTTTTCTTTGACGTGTGACCTAAAAATGTGTGGGGTGACGAGATGCAGCTTTCCATGCACTTGAGTATGGTTTTCTTCCCCAGATGAAATTTGACTGTTGATTTTCCCTTATTTCTTGCTTTCACTCCAATCTGTTCGATTTGCATTGGCTTGTATAAATATGGATAGAGAGCATGGAAAAAAATGTAGCCATTTGGTAAATTGTGTTTCCCCTGTCTCTCTGAGTCTTTCCCACTTATATGAGAGCACTTGTCTTCTAGAATAACCGTCGTCGCATGTTCATAATTTTAAATCATTAAAGCCTCAATTTTCTAGCTATGATCCTTGCTTCATTGCTTTCACTCTCATACTTCAAGGTACCCTATTTTCTTATCAGCTTTTACTTAAGCTTTTATTACATTTAAATTATGATGAATGGTAATTCTATTATCATCGAGTATGACTCGGAGGGTAGTAATTCTTCGTCTTCGAAAAGGAGAATGAAGTTTCAATCCCATTCATTCCTCTATGTCGGGGGGGGGGGGGGGGAGGGTTTGAATCAAGAATCATCATTTTGAGTGATGACTCACAGATGAAAGAGTCGTCTGGACAATGTCTTTTAGTTGAAGATCTCTCTACCAATACTCCAGAATCTATGTTTCCTACAAAAACCGATTGAGGTGAAAACCTTGTCGAGAAACCGATGCATCCTCTTGTTTTGATTGAGAGAACATGTTGGTCTATTTGTCAAATCATATTGTGAGTCAATAGGTCATGACCCTAGTGATGCTGAAATTGCTCGTCATATGGAGTTCCAGGTGATGTCGTGTCATGGGTAAATCCCGGTGAACAACATAGAGCCAACGTATTGGCCCGTAGGGGTCTTCAAGTAATAGAGTTGGCCAATTCTAATAGATACCATTGGGCGGCCTCCAAAATAGTTGAGACTACTTCCATCATGAACACAATTGAAGTTGTAACCCAGGCTAACATCACGGTTGGCGATCCTCTAGATTAGGCGATTCTACTAGTAGGTCCAGATGAAAAGGTATGCAACTCTTTCGAGGGTCGGTGAGTTCTTTTGTACAAGTTTCTCTTCACTAGGTTGGGGATACACCTGTTGTTCTCTGATTTTAAGGTGGTTATCATGAACTATATTAAAGTTTCCCCCTCACAGCTTCATCCCAGAGCTTAGGCTTTCATGATGGCTTTTCAACTTTGTGTCGGGTACAAGTCTTGGAAACCTTCATTAGGACTTTGTTTCGACCTTTTCTCTGTAGCTACCACTTTGGTAAATACTTGGGATCAAGGATCAATCTCTCTTTTTCCTTAAGTACCTTGGTTCAATGCTTCTGCCTCAAATTGGGGTGATTTTTTTGGAGCATTTCGTATTGGTGAAACCCGTCACTTCTGAGGCGCATATGGCCTTCTTTTCGTCTTAGAATCCGATTGGAAGCGGTCGCTCTTGCCGAGGTAGTTTTCAAAAACATTGTCCATAGCTCATTCTACCAGCCTATCCCTTTTCATCAACCCATTACAACTTCTCTGTCTCCTGAGGAAGTGGAGATGAAAGAGGATTTACATGTCTGGTATCAGGGACCCGGATATGTAGAAGGGTTTGGTCCCATTGAAGTACTTTCCTTTCAATAAAAGAAAATATGAATAGATACTTACGTGATAATTATTGTGTCTATATTTAATTTATGGCACACAGATACCAGATGTCACAACACTGCGATCAAAATAGCTTGACCCCAAATAAAAAAATACAGAAACTTGAATGACAGAAAAATAAAATAACATTAGTAGTTTTTAACCTAGTTCGGTGCAACTCACCTACATCTGAAGGTTACGAAGTCAGGAAGGAAATTCACTATGATAGTATTATTTACAACTTCTCACCTAATCCCTACCTTATGCAACTTCTACCTAGGCACCCTCTAGATAGGAGATACCCCTCTCACTTCCTAATCAGTCAAAATCCCAATGAAAATTCAACAACTATCCAAAATAGAAGTACCAACCCTTCAAATTACAATACTTAGTTTTTCTTAAAAGCTTCCACCAAGAATAATACACTCTTACTTAAAAGTTTTAGAGTGGACAATTAATAAGAACAATCAGTCTACCTCAATGCATCAAAAGATACATAAGTGACATACAAATAAAAAACACGATAAACACTAAATAGACTCCAATGCACGACTAATCATAATTTCCTCCAAATTCCACACTTCCTTTAGGTTTAGAGCCTCCTTTAAATAAGAATCATAGCTGCA